ATAGTGATTCATTTTAAAAACCGTAGTGAATTCAGCTCACAATTCAAATACTTGCACAAATGCTTTTCCTGGAGACAACAATCACATTCGATATAAAACAAAAGTGCTTTATGTGCACTTACCATTTTGTTGAACAGAATATTAAAAGCCATGCACTCAAGAATCAAGGTTTAATAAAATTAACAATTTTTACTGTTTCATCAAGATCATTCTTAAATGAAAAGGACCCTTTTAAAAATTTCAAGTGTGTGGCAGTAAAGAATACAATGACTACTAGTACAGTTTGGTACCATTGCCTTGATATATGCTAAGGTATCAGTAGTTGTATTCCCATTGCTTTTGCATGATCAGTGAAAAAGGCAAATAACATCTAGTATTGTGAAAATACTTTTGACCTGATGGACCCCCCAAAAGTTTTGGGGACTCTAGGAGTCTTTGTACCCCACTTAGAAAACTGCTGTCTTAGATCCTTACAACTTCAAGAGGTATGAATACTCTCACTTTACAGGTCAGCAAACATACTCAGAAACTAAATCATACGCCCCAAGTGACTGAACTGGTAAGAGGTAGGGCTGGTTGATTCGATTCCAAAGCCTGTGATGTCATAAGCCCCTCTCTACTGTGTATGTTACCACCAGTGTGTCCTTGAATACACCATACTGTTTTGGCCCTGCACTTTTCCATAGGCTATTCTCTCTGCTTACAATATTTTGCCCTGGTGAACACTCAAACACACTTTAAGACCCACCTCAAAATTACTTTCTCCCGAGGCAGAGTTAATCCTTCCCTCCTCCATGCTTATGTATTTTGCTCATAAGTCTAATTTTGGCACCAAACATGTTGTTTTCATTTTCATGTCATCACATTGTCGGTTTTTTTCCTGTATGGTTACTGCTTTTCATATGCTGTTTAATAATTCTTTCCTACCCCGAGTTCATAAAATACTCTCCTATATGCAGTCTTTAAGTTTTAATCCATCTGGAATTTATTTTTTATATATGGTATGAGGTAGAGATCCAGTTTTATTTTTTCATATAAATATTCCTTTATCCTAGCTCCATGGATTATTGAGCAATCCATCTTTCCTACCAATCTGCAATGCAGTTTTTGTTATCAAGTTGCCAGATACATATGAGTCTATTTGTGGGCTCTCTGTTCTGTTATATTGATCCATTTGTCTATCCCTGCTAATATCACAATGTATTTTTTTCTATAGGCTTTTAAGTCATAATGTTCAGCATGGCTAATATCTTCATTGTTGCTCCTTTTAATTTTCTTCTTTTTCAAGAGTGTCTTGATTAGGCTTGGGCTTTTTGTCTTCAATGTATGTTTTAGAATCTCAACTTATCCAGTTCTTTATTTGGAATTGTATTCAATTTATAACATCAGTTTGAAGGAGAACTGACATTTTTACAATTCTGAGTCTTATTATATGTGAACATGGTTTATGTCTCTATTTAGGTTTTCTTTAATGTGTTTCAATAGTTTTATAATTTTCTCCATATAGTTTTGCTCATAGTGCTAGAGATTGTTGGTTGTGCTTCCTTCTACAGTAACAGAGTCTGCATTCTTTAGCTGGGCACACAGACACTCATAATAAAGACTATTTTGTAGCCTCCCTTGCAGCTAGGAGACCATGTAACTAATTTCTATTAGTTACATGTAGCTAACAGGATATCAACAAAAGTGGTATGCAACTTATGGGAAGTGTCATTGAAGGAAGTTAGGTACCCTTTGCCTTCCCTTTTCTCCTTCCTCTCATTGGAACACAGATAACACATGGGTGAAGTTAGCCATCTCAGATCTTGAATGAGGATAGCAGAACCACATAATAGAAGGAATATTAGTTCCTGATCATTATGGAACTACCATGCCAATTCTGCGTTCTGTCAGAAAGGAAGAAGAATGAATACTGGATAAGGCAGTTAGCAATGTCTTTCACACCTGCTAAGAGGCTACTGAACCCTAGTTATATACTAGTGTTACTTATGAAAATTAGGGCCTGAAATTATGATTTTATAGCTAGAGATGATAATTATGGTATTGTGATGGTAGGGTAGGAAGATACTGATGCTGGAGGCACTGCATGAAAGAATATGAGATGCAGTAAGAAGTGTAGGAAATGGCCAAGAATATCAATTAATGGTTTTGACACAAAAACATGAAATCAACGTTTTTAGTGTGTCATCAAGAATAATCTTGGCCTGGCTGGTGTAGCTCAGTGGATTGAGCACGGGCCTGTGAAGCAAAGGGTCACTGGTTTGATTCCCAGTCAGGGCACATGCCTGGGTTGCAGGCCAGGTCCCCAGTGGGGGACACATGAGAGGCAACCACACATTAATGTTTCTTTCCCATTCTTTCTCCTTCCCTTAAACTCTCTCTAAAAATAAATAAATAAATAATATTTTTTTAAAAAAAAGAATAATCTTGCCCTGGCTGGTGTAACTCAGTGGATTGAGCGCGGGCCTGAGAACCAAGGGATCTCCGTTCGATTCCCGGTCAGGGCACATGCCTGGGTTTCGGGCCAGTTCCCAGCAGGGGACACATGAGAGGCAACCATACATCGATATTTCTCTCCCTCTCTCCTTCTCTTCCCCTCTAAAGATAAATAAATAAAATATTTTTAAAAAATCTTTAGCTCTGACTAGTGTGACTCATCGCATTGGGCATCATCCTGCAAACCAAAAGGTAGCCAATTCAATCCCCAGTCAGGGCATATGCCTGGGTTACAAGCCAGGTCCCTTGGTTGCCAATGTGCAAGAAGCAACTCATTGAAGTTTCTCTCCTTTCTCCCTCCCTTCCCCCTCTCTAAAAATAAATAAATAAAATCATTTTTAAAAAGGATAATCTTTAGAGATTTATGGTCACAGAGGGGTGGGAGCTCTTTAGGCACATTCAGAAACAAGGCAAAATGATGACTACATGATCTTTCAATGTCATGCTAGAGCATGTTAAAGTCAAGTCAGCCCAAGGGTCAAAAGATTATCTTGGAGTTATAATTTTGTTTGATTAGCACCCAGAAGTTTTACAGCCCTCAAAAGTTAGAGGATACTGTGTAGAACTAATAAAATAGAGTGATTTTTTTCTAGTCGACTAAAGATAACCCCAAAAGTTATAGTTTATTGCCCTATAGGACATTAACTGCTTTTGTACCTAATTTAGCATCCTTCTTAGCATTTCTTTCCCTATTGACTACATAAGTTCCAATTTCTCATATCTTCATTGAGCAAGCTTTGTCATCCTGTTGATTTCTTCATTATTGAGGTAAATAAAATTTTGATATGTGGGGGACAAAGGAAAGAGTAGGGTATGAAGACCTTAGAAAAAAGCTGAAAGGCAAAAGATTAGCCTCAGAGGAAGAGAACAGCATGCCCCATTAGTTCTAGAAATTTCTATCAACAGAGTAGAAATCCGCCCACAACTGAAATTAAATATAGAACCTTAAGAAACCACTCCCTACACACACACACACACACACACACACACAACCTCTGCTCTACCAGATTGAGGAATAAAAGAATAATTAATATGTATGTCTATTTTATGATAATGTCACACTCTGTTCTTGTCCTTTTAGTCACCAAGTCCTATAGACCCTGGTTCCACAGTATCTCTCCATGTTATTGTTTCCATTTTCACTACCACAACCCAAGTATAGGTCACCATTAATTCTTGCCTATCATATTGCAATAGCATCCTAATTTTATTTCTTTATTTTTGAGCCTTTTGTGGTAGGCACTTAGGGGCAGAGCAAGGACCATAGGCCAGGTACAGAAGGTCACTAGGGAAGAAAGCACTGGGTACCTAGCAACAAGCAAAACTGGGAAAACAAGGACCTTGTCCCCCAGGGTAATCTTTCCTGTCCTAGCATATTGCTGGTCATACCGGTTTTGACTGACCTTTCCCCTTGCTAGTCATGCAGTTCAGACTATCCCCTGACATCTCCTCCCCTGGCATGTTGCTTCTCATGGGGCCTAGACCCCCTTAGAAGGGGAACGAAGAAGGGGCAAAAGAATAACCCTTAAGCATTAAGCCCCCAGGACAATGAGGTTCTAACCCGCATCAGATAGTCTAGGCACCAGTCACATTTGAGCTCCAGGCCCAGAAAAGCAGCAAACCAGACAAAGGAGGGACCTCAGGACCAGCTGCATTGACTAATGACCCCCTTGCCCTGGCACCAGCCAATCAGTGCAAGGTATCCAATCAGTAGATACCTTGCGCTCGAATTTTAGCTATTATTATTTTTACAGATGTTTTGACGAAAAGAGATTGCTTCAATTAATGTTAACTCACATATATGGCATATAATTGGACTCTTGCTTGTCCTCAAGAGATTTACCCCTAGAATCAAACGTACCTTATTACCAATACAAGCAAAACCAAAAAATGTCAGGAGTCTCAAGTGGTCCAATAAAGTAAGGTTTATATGTAAATAGCACCAGAAACTCTGGCATAAGGTGGGGAATAGGCAAAAGCTAGTAAGCAGACAGGCATAAAATTTAGCTGGGACAATTTCATTTAGTCAAAGTACATTTGCATGATTCTATAAAGCAGTCAGTGGAGCTTTCCCATTTCCAAACATTGTTAGAATGAGACAGCTGCCAACATGCAAAATAAGTATAGGTGCCCCACAGTGCCCTCATTCACCCATGCTATCTAAAACTGTTGTGCCCCATCAGAGGCGGAACTGCCTCATCCCTCCCCTAAATGAGGGGTTCCCAGGTAAAGTCTTCAATATGGGAAAAGCCTCCAGCTTATAACCAAAGGGAAGGCTCGCACAAGTCACACAGCTCGGGGCAGCCAAGACAGCCACCTGAGTAGGCAGCTCGCACACCGGAAGAGTGCCACCCCGAGCTTTGACGCAGAGGGACGCCCTTACGTAACCGGTCGCGAGGGGCTCCGCCCTAGGCCCCGCCCCTCGCAACCGACCGGTCAGTGGGTGAGCAACTCTCCAGAAGCTTCCGCCCCTTTTTTTTGTTGAAGGGGGAAGGCTCTTGACGCCTCCAACGTAACACCGGCCCTAAAACCGTGAGGTGGGAAGCGCTTCTCTCACTCCTTACTTCCGCTTCCTTCAAGTAAGGAGTCGGTCGCTGCCTATCCCCTTTTTCTCAGCCAGGCGACGGAGACTTAGGCTTGAGATGTTTGGCCTCAAGAGAAACGCAGTAATTGGACTCAACCTCTACTGTGGGGGGGCCAGGTTAGGGGCTGGCAGCGGCGGCACCGCCTCCCCTCCGGGAGAGCGGCATCTGGCCGCGGGGAAGGAGGCCACGGCGCGGCGAGAGGCAGGGGGAGGGGAAGCGGGAGCGGTGATTGGCGGAAGCACCGGCGTGAGCCCCCCGGCCACACTGGCGCCCGACCCCCGGAGGGTCGCGCGGCCCTCGCCCATTGGCGCCGAGGGCCCTAGCGTCACCGCGACCCCCGTGAGGCGGCTGTTCGCGCCTGCCCGCCGCGCTGCGCTGCCTGAAGAAATGGAAGCCCCGGCCGCCGACGCCATCATGTCGCCCGAAGAGGAGCTGGACGGGTACGAGCCGGAGCCTCTCGGGAAGCGGCCGGCTGTCCTGCCCTTGCTGGAGCTGGTCGAGGAGGCCAGTAATGGCTCCGTTACGGGTGGCTCACTGCCCTCCACGCCGCCCCCAACAGAGGAGGAGGAGGAGGACGAGTTGTACCGGCAGTCGCTGGAGATTATCTCTCGGTACCTTAGGGAACAGGCCACTGGCGCCAAGGACGCGAAGCCAATGGGCGGGTCTGCGGCCGTCAGCCGGAAGGCGTTGGAGACCCTTCGGCGGGTCGGGGACGGTGTGCAGCGTAACCACGAGACGGCCTTCCAAGGTAAGGGGGTCGCCACGGAGGCCGCACTGTCTTTTGTCGTCTCTCAGCCTACTCACTTGGCTGGAAACCGAGACGGGTCAGTGTTGAAACGACTCTCATCCTAGTTCCGAAACCAGAATATTCTGGCCATGAGTCATTGTTTCCGCCCACTCGATTCTTTTGGAAATAGCGCTGTTCAAAGGCCGGAAAGGGTGGGATGTCAGTTTTCAAATGGGGTCGGCCTGAGTTCTGCAGAGCCCAAATAGCGATTTCCCCGCCGTGGGTGGGCAGGCGAATCGTGCTCTGGCTTAGACAAAGGAGGCCGTGAGAACCCGCATGCTTTTCTTCCTCTCAGGTATGCTTCGGAAACTGGACATCAAAAATGAAGACGACGTCAAATCTTTGTCTCGAGTGATGGTTCATGTTTTTAGTGACGGAGTAACAAACTGGGGCAGGATTGTGACTCTCGTTTCTTTTGGTGCCTTTGTGGCTAAACACTTGAAGAGTATAAACCAAGAAAGCTGCATTGAACCATTAGCAGAAAGCATCACAGATGTTCTCGTAAGGACAAAACGAGACTGGCTAGTCAAACAAAGAGGCTGGGTAAGTTTGTTTTAAAGTTGAAGAGGGGCCTTGGAGTGGAAATAGAATGGAGGATTTTATAGAGAAACTGGGGATAGCTAAAGATTTTTATGATGTACAATTCAGTTTTCACGTTTCAATTTATGGGCCTCTGTCTGCTTGATGTTGATGTAAGTAGTGGGTCCATAGAGGTAGTGGTGTGACTGACTTGATTTGTTTCATCAAATCCTTGTTTCCTGTAGGCCTTTTTTTTTCTTTTTACTTGATGTTGAGTCTTTTGCTTTTGGTAGAGCCTTTAGCTTATTGTAATTCAGCTGAATACTCTTCACAGCAGTGGATTCAAATTATGAAGCAGTAAGAATCACCCGGGGATAGTAGTAAAAGACATTCCTCAACACATACCCCCCCAAAAAGACACATGTTGTGTCTTTTTGCAGCTGGAGTTTAATATTGGTTCATCCTTGCATAGAGGCGGGCCTTAGTTTATCTTTTCTTTGTAAGTGGAAACCCCCATACTTGAAAATGTGTTTTTCTCTTTTGTTTTCTAGGATGGGTTTGTGGAGTTCTTCCACGTAGAGGACCTAGAAGGCGGCATCAGAAATGTGCTGCTGGCTTTTGCAGGTGTTGCTGGAGTAGGAGCTGGTTTGGCATATCTAATAAGATAGCCTTATAAGTGAAGTAATTGACTCTTTACTGACTCCAGGCACCAAATCCACATCCGTGTGCTATGAAGTCAATGTATTTATGAAGTTGGACTCCACGCAATGTACAACAGCAAGTGGCAAGAGGATTATGGCCAACAAGAATAAATAATGGGGGGGAAGTTGTCCCCCTCAAAGAGTCTCTGTCTGAAAGAAGCAAAGTTCAGTTTCAGCAAGAGGCAAACTGGGGAGGCCACGGAGGAGGACTTTTAGATGTAGTGAAGATGGTAGTGTGGAGAGACTTGATATCCTTGTCTAGAAGAGAGTGGCCAGTAGCCAGGCTAGTCATATAGAGTTCATTAAATAGACCCAGTGAATTCATTAACTTTCTGTTGTGTTAAAAGAGAAGCACTAACAATGTCAGTGAACTGTGTAAAGTGGATTTAAGCTACAACAGAACTATGACTAGAAGCCTCGATACTGTCCAACAGAGTGTGAAGGAAAGCTTTTTCCTCTCTAGAATTAGCTTTCCCAGGTATGCTTCTTGAAGACTATCCAAGTGCTCAGGTCTTACACCTGTTCTACTTTGGCTTCGTTTGAGTTTATTAGCCTTGTGATGTCCAAGAATACTTGACTTAAGGCTCAATAACTGCAGTTACAGTGTGAAATGTCCTCAATTTTTTAAAGATAAAACCAACTTGTAAATGTATTTGTCTGTAAAAATTGTATATATTTTTACAGAAAGTCTATTTCTTTGAAATGTAAAGGCCAGGCGTCTTGAATTTCATTAGTTTTTTCGTATCCTTTTGAATTCTGTAGTTATGAATCTATTTCTTACAACTTTTCTATTCTAAACTTTGTCCTGTTCAATTCTAGATTGTATACATAACCAATCGATGTAATTGTATTCAATCTGGTTGTAATGGAACAATTCTGACTCACAACTATACAGGCTTTTAATTTTCCTGTCTGATTTTGGTAAGTATTCCTTTTAGGGCTTTGCTATTTTTTTTTAAACCTGAGTTGAAAAAATGAGAAATAGAAATCCTTTCACTTTGTTACATATAGATTTTCAATAATTGAGTCAGAAGGTGTGGTTTTTTTAAGGGGCAGGGGCAGGCCAATGATTTATAAATAATGAGCTCTGATTGGGCAACAACTTGTTCAAGTTCCTTCTGTTTGACCTAGCTGGTGAAATTTGTGTTCATGAGCTCATCTGCAAAGCTTTTAAAAAGATATTCAGCTGTTCCAAATTGGACTTGATAGCAGTATGTGTATAAAAAGACCACATCAGGTGGATGAGAGACATTTGATCCCTTGTTTGCTTAACAAGTTGTAAAATGATGGCTTGGAAAAGCAGGCTATAGTATAACCATGGTGCTATTTTAGGCTGGCTTGTTAAATGCAAGTCTAAGCCTAGTATGTCAATAAAGCAAATACTTAATTTCTAAGTGATTCCCAAACTTTGTTTTAAATTTTTGCATTGGCATCTCTTTGGATTTAAGACTCATTCTATTGAACTTAACATTTGTTTCTTATTTTTCCTTTGAAATATTTGCTGCTTGTTCTGCTCCCTCTACAGATATTTAAATCAATTCTTACATCTTTCACCCTGCCATCCCTGAACTCTAGCTTATGTAATTTTGGGCACTAGGAAACTAAGTAACCCCCCCCTCCCCTACAGGAATCCACAGACCTTCATCCTTCATGAGTTTTATCCTTGGTAGTACAGTAGATTCTGTAGCAGTAACAGTCATAGTCATGAGGTGGGAGGAGTCCTTTTTTCTTGGACTTGTTTCTTTTTTTACCTTTTGAGGAGAAGTTTCAAAAGTCCCCTTAAGAATTTCCAGAGGAGGGGAGAATATCTTATGTGACTTTGTCTGGATTCCTTTGAATTTGCGTATGCTTGCTTAAAATTACAGAAATAAGTACAGAGTGCTATAAAGACTACTGGTTAAACTGAGAAAAAAAGGTTGTCATTTGAAAGCTTCAGCCTTAGAACATGACCTTTAGTCTGTGGACTCCAGATAAAAATAGGCATGAATAAAATGACTAAGAATGTAATAGGGAAGAATGCCTTGCCTGCCCATCTCCGAGCCATAAGGTCACGTAGCTAGAGCTATTTTTGCCTATGTATTTATCGTTCTTGATCATAAACCAGTTATTTATATCATGTCTGTCTCTAGGGACCTAAAAGCACTTTATGTAGTTTTTCATTAATCTTGAGATCTGATTCAGATGACTGAAAAGCCCGTCTCCCCATATCCAGTTGTGGAAATAAGTGCATAGATATAAGTTGGTGGCATTTAGGGGCCCCACTTCCCAATTTACTGGGTGTGACTGCTGAAATGATGAGGATCTTAGTTAAATACTTTGGGGAAGGGTGGATGGTTTTGTAGGGAGAGGAGGCACTTTCTCAGTGCTGACTAGCTACATACTTCAGGCAGATCCTCCCAAATGGAAAAAGGAGGAGCTGCTTGGAAAGATGGCTGTCTCAGCAACTTCTGTCTTATGCTTCTCTCAGGGAAAAACCTTCAGTCCTCTAGTGTTGTCCATGTAACATTCAGTCGGGTTAACACCTTGATTCTGGTTAAACAGCCAACACTGTTGACAGCTGTACCAGTTAGGATTAGGACCAACTACAAATTAAATGTGGGCTGTAAAATGTAGTGTTTCCCTAACTTCCTGTTTTTCCTGAGAAGAAAATAATAAATCTTTTATTCAAATACAAGGTGTGGTATGGGTGTTTTCTAAACGTTGCCTGTCTTCCTTCCCCCTCTTAGGGCCAGCCTTTTAGGGAAGTCAGCTGAACAAATAAGTGTAGGTGAATTAAGTAAATGCAGCCCCATAAAGCTCATTTGCCTTAGAGCACAGGACAGTTCCCTTCAGAAAAACTCCTTTCATTCAAATTAGTGATGTTGGGCTTTTAATTAAATGTGTTATTCTTGTACTTGGGAGTACCTGTACATTTTAATTTAAGAAGCAAAAATCTGTCCCAATATTTTGTTAGTCATCAAGTGTTGATATAATGTTGAAGTACGAGGGTTCAACTTCCTGTCTCAATTTTTTGAGTTGAAGGAGCTAAAAGAAATAACCAGTGTTAAGGTTTTTAATATGGTTTGCAGTACAAATTAATGTTTCAGTACTTTTACCATACCTCTGCCAAAAAGGAGCTCAGAATAAGTTAAGTCAGTTTCAGAAACTATCTGGTATTTCCTGACACCTTAGAATTACTATGAAAATGTGCAAATGTGAGGTATGCATATTGGTTTTAATCTCTGAGCACCAAATGCTAATAGTGCAAACATTTTTGTGCTTTCACCATCTCTACCAGAGGCAGCAACATTATATTATGAAGAAAGGAGTTCTATACAAGTACACACCAAAGAGGAGGGATGGAGGGAGGGTGACCAGACACAAGGCCCCGAATCTTGGCCCAAATTCTAAGCCGTACTATTGCTCCCACTAATGTATTCTGAAAGCCATTTCTGTGGCAATATTCCTTAGTGAAACATCTCAAACTGGGGTAACTAGGTAACATGATCACTGAGCAAGTCACAATAATCAACACTTCCCTTCATTTGACACAACCAGATATTTTTTCAGTTCCTGTTTTGCGACGTCAGAGCCAGATCTTGCTTCATCTTGCTTTAAAGAAAATTTTCAAGAAATTGAAACAGCTGGGGAATTTTACAAAAAGGAAAGTGGAATGACTTGTACAACTGGTGTGCTGCATGGCTCTAGCCAAATTCTCAAAGAGCGTGGGGTTCAAGGTGGTCAGTTGAGTCTCTTAATTTATCCTAATTCTTTTTGCCTCCACTTGTTCAGTGATTACAGAACTTTGTTTTCTTGAACCCTGCCACACTGTTCAAAGGCTTCTGAGTTTCAAGATTTGAAAACTTTGTCCCTCTTTTTTTGTTTCAAAGTTACAGTGTTATCTTAGGTATGTGAAGCATGCTGAAAGATGGGGGTTGGGAATCTGCCTCCAGGCCGATGTAACAGACCCTTCCTGAGAATTCACTGTTCTTTACTAAAGATTCTTGTGAGGTCAAAAAAAGAATACAAGTGGCAAGTTTTGTTCTTTTTCTGCATAGAATAATAGTTCCTGTTACAAAGTGTATTAAGGCTGAAAATACTACTCTGGATTTTACCCCTTATAAATAACCATTTACATAGCTTGTTTCTGGCATTGGTTTCTGTGTTCTTACTTTGTCTTCTCTGCTCATCCCACGTTCAGGATTACCTTTTTTTTATTATTAAAGATTCTTCAATACTGCAATGAGCTCTAGGCAGCCAGATGTTGAGTCTCAATCATTACCATTTCATGGCAGTGGACTGTTTAGTATGTATCATGCACTGTTGGTTGCGGGAATTATAAAGGGAATAGTTCTTCCTCTTAAGAAACTTGGTCCAAAAAGACCAGGGAGCAGTTGAAACATGACAACTATGTGCAGGGTGATTTCTGGGTATGGGCAATGTGTTAGATAGTACTGTATCACTGTTAAGTTTCTGGAGTGTATTGTATTGTGGTTATGTAAGAGAATGTCCTTGTTCTTCGGGGATACATCCTGAAGAATTTGTGCATAACCAATCCTTAGAATGAGAAAGCAACTGAGGCAGAATATTAAACCACGCAATCCATAGTAGGATAACCATGGACAAAAAATAATTAGAATACAGTGCACAAAGTGCTACAGTAAAGGTATTATAAGAATAAGGTGGGGCACAGCAGAGTGACAAGCTCTGGAAGCAGAAGGAGGTCAGAGGTTGGACCTGAAAGACTGAATAGGAAGCTACGTGCACAAACGCTGTAGTTGGGAAAGAACCTCTGCGGCTGTCGGGGGAGGGGGAGATTTGTAGATAATTTTTTTTCTTCACATCACTTCATCTTTCCTCTCTGCCTTCCTCCCTGTCACCATGCATGACCAGTGAACATATTATCTCTTCAGTTTCTTCCATTTAGGGACTTAACAAAACTATTGAAAACACTGGCAGAAAAAGATGTCTTTTTGGCCTTGGAGGTCTGAATTTGGTGTAAATGACACAGCTGAGTGCATTGTGTTTATTTGAGAAGTACAGACAGACTTCATTGTTTATCTTGTTTAAAATGGTGGCTCTGAACACACAATTTCAGGGTCACAGCCATCACTGGACTTTGAGTGCAGGAGCTGGCAATGGCAGACCTACTTTGAATAAAGTTGTCTTAAAAGCATCACCTATAGGATAGCTTGCTCACTCATCTCACCAGCCACGCGTCGGCTTTCTCCACCTAGGTTCTCATAACTGAGTTTTTCAATACAGGACTGAGAGTGCTATGTTCTCTGCAGAATGGAGTTTTACTAAGGAACAGTCCCGTCCCCCCCAGTTATTTAACTGGACCCCCAGATACTGAATGGTGGCGCAACACTCCCTAATCTCGTTCCCGTGGGAGACCGTTAACAGCTATTCCCATCCTAGTTTAAAAAAAAACAAAACAAAAAACAGTTTGCTCTGACTGCCCAGACTTCCCCACTGGCTGCATTCTTGCCCATGAGCTCATTGTTTTGGCTTCTCTGCCTGTATAAATCCACAGCCAGTGCCAGAGGTCTCAGCCTGGGCCCCTAACTAGCTGGGGCTGCATTCCATTCAGAATTTCACCACCCCCACTTGGTTTTCTTCCCGCCCTCCTGTGGTCACATGTGTATGTTTATTCAAGTTAGCCTGGGACAAGGTGTGCTGGGAAAGAGAGCCAAGGACGCACACAAGGAAAAGAATGTTTAACTGTTTTCATCCTGGCTTAAATGAGTTTTCCATTTCATTTTGATTTTAGAAATGCATCAATTCTGTGCCCCTAAAAAAGTTAGTTTCTTGTCTGGTAGGAGGAGCTGGGTTTGAAATTTTTTCTGTGCATTTCATAGTTTCCCTTAGCAGGCTGGTATGACTCTCAGGTATCCAGATTTGAGGGGGTCAGGGGGAGATAGAGACTTTCCCTAAGAAACATCACTTTTATGCGCATTTGATTCCTGTCTGTGTGTGTGTCTCTCTTGCATTTTGTCCTCAGCTCACACCCCCATTACTGAGGTTGCCTGGAGCAGTTCCCACCCATCTCCTGTCCTTGGTGGCAAGGAGGGGGTGGAGGGGTGGCAGGGTATGAGCAGACAGCTGGGCTCCTGCAAGGAGCAGCTGTTAGGTTTCACTGCTTGTACTGAAACTTCCTGGGAGGATAGCTTGTTTGTTTCTTTAGGCCCTGAAAGCCCAGATCTAAGGCAAGGTGGAACCCACATCCACTGACCGATGGGAAGGGCATTTGTCTTAGGTTTGGGATTAATACTATATACTTAAGCCCTGGCTGGGTAGCTCAGTTGGTTAGAGCATCGTCTGATACACCAAGGTTGCCCGTTCAATCCCAGTCACACAGCACATGTGAGAGTCAATGAATGCATAAATAAGTAGAACAGCAACTCGATGTTTCTCAAATAAGTAAATAAAAAAAAAGTATAAATACTGTATGCTTAAGCAGCTCCTTTTGCACCACGGTTTCCTTTTCATCGTTGAAAAAAACAACTAGACAGGCTGTGGGAAGTGACATTTTTCATTTCTCAGAAATCCCTCATGAGGCAAGTAGAGACACAGAAAGAAGGAAATAACTTCATGTCGAAACGAGGTTTCGTGTTTCGAAATGAAGTCTTTTCAGAGCTCGTAATGGTGGGGAGAGTGGCGGGTTTCTTGCTTCCTTGCCCCTTCGTGTCCCACCTCCAAGTTTGGTAGTCAGGTCTGACCCTGGATAGGGCGTCTGAATCGTCTTTCCCCATTGGGAACCTTGAAGGACACGTGCATCAATACTATGAGTGAAAGAAAAACTTACAATAACAGAATGAGGATTGGGAAGCAATGCCTGATATACATTATTTTTGTTTTAAATGCATCTGCACTGTTTTTAAGTACAGAAAACGTGAACACACAACTTTGATAAAGTTTGTCCTAAGGAAGGAAATTAGAAATTAAGTGACTCAATTAGAAATACACACGCCTATGTTTGTGCGTGATAGTGCACCTTAAACAAAAACCAAATATATTTGTTTAAATTATTTCCTTGGATCCAAATACTAAATACATTTGAAAACAAAAACACTTAAAACCGTTCAAGTTCTGGATCACTATCACTGTGGCCCAAATTACTATTTTGATAAAGGTGCCCCGTCTGATTGAAACTGAGTAACAGAACAAAAGAATCAGGTAGAATTTTGTGGGGGCCTGGAGCAAACCTCCCCAGAATGAGCCACCCTGGCATACAGATTATTTTGAGTTAAAAACAAAGCCCAGCAAACTCAGGAAGAGGTTTTTTGTTTTTTGGGTTTTTTCCTCCCCCTTACCTGCCTAAGGAGATTCACATAGAAAAACCTGCTTCAGAAAGGGAACCTTGGCATTATCACCCGAGCACAGACAATTACAAACTAAGTGTGGCAGCCTGGGAGGATCCCAGCAGAAATTTGCTAAATTCCCCTTTGTGTCCCATTGTTTCTGGGTGGCCCTGTAAGAATTTCTTTATCACATGTTTGCTCTTGTCTACCTGTGAATTGCCTATATAGGGCAGCAAAAAATAACTTTCATCTTTCTAAATTCTTCTGCCTAGGCTAATAATCCAATTAACAGAGACAAATTAACAGGAGAAGATATCCAAAAGTTATTATAGATGTACAAAATGTCCAAAATTTGGGGGGAAGTCAAAGGTTTTTCCTGAGTCTTTTGTTTCTCAAAAACTGTCTTCGAATCAATATCCAAAAAGGCATGTTTTGAGGTGGCAAAACTTTGCTCCCCTTCCACCCCCTCCCCTTCCTTGACTAAAATGACACATACACCTGATTTGACCTCATTGACTTTGGAGTATTTGTGCTTATGTGAATTCCCCATGCACACGTCATTAAAATTTGATTTTCTCCTGTTAAGCTGCCTCATGTCATTTGAATCATTCAACCAACCAGAACTAAAGGAGGAAGGGGAAAGTTTAACTTTCTCCCCTGTAAACTGGATTTAAAGTCTTACTAGGATTTAAAGATAATATATACAAATGCTTTACCTTAAAGCACTATACAAATGGAAGGAATTTCAGGAAATATTCTTTAAGGATTAATGCCAGCGATTTTCAGCCTTGTTCATCTCATGGCACACGTAAACTAATTACTAAAATTCTGCGGCACACCAGAAAATGTATCTTTTGAAGATCTGACCCCCAAAAAATAGGTATGATTTTGACTCATTCATGCCAGATGGCTAGTATGTTGGCTGCTGTCTTTTTTTTATTTGACAATCTAAGAGAAAAGAGGTCAGTGCCCTGACTAAACAGGCATTGCATGTATTATTACTTTATTTTTTTACTATTACTATTTTTTAATCCTTATCTGAGGATATGTTTATTGATTTTAGAGAGAGGGGAAGGGAGAGAGAGAGAAACATCAATGTGAGAGAGAAACATTGATTGGTTACCTCCCGTACATACCCCGACTGGGATGGAACCCACAGCCTCGGTATGTGCCCACACTGGGAATCGAACCTGCAACTTTGGGCATACAGGATGATGCTCCAATCAACTGAGCCACCTGGCCAGGACAGGTATCGCATGTTTTTCTTTTTTAAATTATTCTTTATAGATTTGTGTTTGTTTATTTTTTTTAGAGGGGGAGGGAAACATCGATCAACTTTCCGTCGCATGCCCCAACCGGGGACCTGGCCCGCAACCCAGGCGTGTACCATACGGTGAATCAAACCGGTGACCTTTCGGTTCGCAGGCCAGTTCTTAACCCACTGAGCCGCACCAGCAGGGTAGGTTTGCATGTTTTAAAACTTCTTGTGGCGCACTAGTTTGCTCTGTTAACCATTTCCAAATCATTGAATTCCCTGGGCAGAGCTACTCTGCAGCAGATAGCATAGGTAGGAGGCTGAATTAAAAGACTCTACAGCTGTATGTTGAAGCCCAGAGGGGACACAAACAGGATTTTCTATGGCTGGACAGAGAACAGTTCAGCCAGATGGGAAAAAAACCTAGGGGTCAGCATATACCTGTCTGCCAAATTGGCCCTAGTACCCATTTTTGTTCAGCCTAAAAGGTAAGAAAGGTTTTTGTGTATTTAAATGGTTGAAAAATGTATTTCGTGACAGGTTAAAATGATATAAAACTAAAATTTCAGTGTCAAAACGTTGATTGGGACAGTCACCACGCCCATGTGTTTACATATTGTCCAGGGCTGTTTTTGTGCTGCGGCCAGAGGTGAGGAGTTGCGGCACGGAGTCTGTGGCCCGCAGAGCTGAAAATATTTACACATGGTCCTTGAGTAAAAAAGTTTGCCCGCTCCTCTACTGGACAATCTGCTAGAGCTAAAAAGGAGCCTTACGATGTGATGAAAGAGGCAGGCAATCAAGAATCAGTAGTGGGGGGTGGGGGGTGAAAGGAGGATGTACTCTGGATCCAGGGCCAGATATTTCTGCCCCTCCCATCAAGGGCAGGGCCTTCGCCACCTTGCCTTTTAGCCTAGGGGCCCCAGGGACACAGTCTCGCCTTTTTATGAGTAACTGCATCTGCGTTCCCCAGTTTTTTTCCTCTTCACTCAGAGTTCTGTGGAGCTGTGTCAAGAGATTCATGCAAGGCTCCGCGAGTACAACACATGCTTCTAACCCTAGCCCCAGACCTTCCCGAAATGGAACCCATCCCCACTGTAACTACTGAGGTTTCCCCAGGCCACTCATAGTTCTCTGGGGCTCTCTGAGAAAATTTTCTGGTCTGTCTGGTTCCCAGTCATTGCTGCACGTCCCCTTCAGCTGGTGTGGCTGATCGGCTCCCTCAGATCTGATGGCCATGGCTCACGCACACCCAGTTTGGACTAGGTTTGCTCATTCCTCTCTCCAGTCCTTTGTACCTTCAGACTGCAGGCCTGAAACACCCTCCTCTAGAGTTTCACCCATTCTCCTGAGTCAGGGAGACCAAAATTAGATTCAAGGGTGCCCCCCCATGGGGTCTGCACAGCAGGAGGTGAGCAGTGCTCCCCACACTGCCTCCGCTGCCCCCACCCCCACCTGCACGCTTGGAAATACCAATTTCATTCCATGAAACTGGTTCCTGGTGCCAAAAAGCTGGGGACTGCGGAGATGGTGTGCGCTGTCATTTGAGGTTAACACAAATACCACTCTTGTTGACAAACTTAGTCTTAGGTACTTTCCTGAGGCTTTCTTCTTCCTGTAGAAGGTGCCTCCCACCCTTTAAAGCTGATACTTCATCACCTGCCTGTGAAAAATAAGCCCCCTCTGCTCTAACTTCCCCACCCAACTGACTCCCTGCCCCAGAGATGGTTGGAATTGAGGCACGTTGTAGGAGAGAGGGTGGGGACCCCCACCCTCACCACACTCAGCCCCAAACTCAGTATCTACTCTAGCATGATGCTCCGTGGTTCAAGAATAGGTCTCCCTGATTCATTTACCCCAGTCTGGGAGGTTGCCAAGTAAAAATGAGGTTCTCTATTTGTGAAATGGGGAGAAGGGCAAAGCAAAAAATGAAAGATCTGGTTGGAGAGAATCTGGAGGGGTGCTTCCCCTTATATTTGGTTCTCCCTCGGTCCCGCTGCCCCCCTGCAGCCCTCCAGGTTTGTCAACGTGGTTGTCCGACGCGCCCCTTGAGAGAGGTGCCCTATGGCTGAGAAGTGTCACTCGTGTCCTGGGCCAGCAAGTGAGTTCCTGTGCTCTGCTTCACTCCTAGTTCCCAGAGAGGCTGAATCGGGACCGCGGAGGTAACAGTGACAAAAAGGCCTCCACAGACTCAGCCTTGCAGCTGTGAGCACCTGCTAGGAGGGAGGCCCAAGGGGTTGGGGAAGTCTAGTAGCTAAATTTAGTCTGAAGGCCACAGCTTAATTGGGTGGGTGATTACCCTGGGGAAGCTGGGACAGGGAGGGGAGGAGAGTTCTGACCCAGCTGGACTGAGACCTAGGTACACTGACTGACACAGACCCACAGTCCCCTTACAAACACTCAGAAACGAGGAGCCCTCAGCAGTCTGCTGGCCTTCTGCATGCTTCTCCTGGGCATATCAAGGTCATTCCTATGGCCACCCCACCCCCACCTCAGATCTCAGGGTGCACTTCCTGGGTCCTTCCCTAATTTCCCCCATTGCACCAGAACTTGGGCCCCTCCACATCTCCCTGGCCTTGGGTTGCAGCTTCCTCTCTCTCAAGTCCTTCCAGGGCTTCAGAGGTCAACAACGGAGGTGTCTGGCCACACTAATCCCCTCTATGGAGCCAGGAAAAGGGGTTGCTTGGGGTCAGGTTTCCCTTCCTGAAACCTTCAGCACTGACCCCATACTGACCTCGGTGTCCAGAGGAAAGAATCCTTAGGAACCTTACAGACTCTTAGCTTTAAAATAAGAAGGGGAAGGGGGCAACCCCAGATGAAAGCCCACTCCTGAGAAATCAGGGACTGGAGACCGGAAGGGAGCTGCTCAAGGGAGGTGCTAAAGCTGGGGGGAGCTTTCATAGGGGCCGTGTTTGCATTTCTCACCTGTGATTGGTTCTCCAAATGATTGGTACACCAAGCTCCAAACCTGCCCAGCAACAGCCTTGAGAGGCCCTACCAGGGAGGGGGAACTTCGGGGAAGTCAGCTGAGCCAGGGCCACTGCCCAGCCCTGGCTTCCAGGAATCGCTGGGAGGGCCCCAGCTACTCAGCACCACCCCTTCCTTCTCTAAGGATTCTGCCTTTAGCTCTCGATATGCACTGGGCTTGCTCACTTCTCTGGTCCCCCACATCTGATTCCCTTATAGGTTCACCAGAGATAAGGACGTGTCTCTTTAGTTTTGCAGTTTAGGCTGAGCAGGGCCACCCAGACTGGGGTTTCCTCCTCCTCACTCACTCCTTGCCCTGGGTTAAAGTCCTTTTTATTTTCCTTTTCCTCCATTCCCTTTGGCCTCCTCCCTCACCCATTCTCAAGGTACAGGCCAAAGTCTTCCTTCTCGGCCACTTCCAGCCCAGATAGGGCCTAAGTCCCAAGGTAGAGGTCTGACTAGACAAGTCCTTGCCCATCACAAGGTCCGGGTATACACAGGACACAGAGCACAACCAGCCACTGAGTTCAGCTGTTTCTGCAGGTCTTTATGGAGGCTCTTCTTCAGCCAGACTTGACGAGGTGCAGTGACGGGTAGATGGGTGGAGAGGGAAGTTTCCAATGGGGAGAGGAGTCTGATTCTGTAGCAACGACCCCTTCCTAGGCACAGGGACCCCTGGGAAGCCTGTCTTCCAGAAGTGGAGAGACCTGGACTCAGCTCTCAGATTGGTCAAGGTCAGGGAGAGAATGTGTGTTATGGAAAAGGCTGCCTGCTCTCCCACCACCTCTAGCAAGCTATTTACCTTGAGATAAAATGAGCCGGCCCGGAGGCAGGAGGGAGGAGACCAGGGTGAGACAACTAGAAGGAATGTGTGTTTGGCAGGACATCCAGTCCTGCCTAGAGCTGGGCCAGGCTCCACCTCCTCCAGGAGGGAAGGGGTGGGAGCGGAAATCACTTCCCCCACCCTATGACAAGCAGTAAACCAACAGCTTAATAGGGAAATGGGCAGTAACAGCAGAAAGGATAGGGGAGGCAGGAAAGCAAGGCCAAAGAAAGAGAACAGGAAAAAAGACACTTGAAAAGCCAGCTGCTGTTTCAGCTCCGTCCCCAACTGAAAGAAGTGCTACTAAGTTCCAGAAGACTTTACAGAAACACCCAGCCTGCTATCAAACCCACCACAGAGCAGGCAGTTTTTTTCTCAGCTCTGGACCCAAGCTCCCAGCTCCATAGCTAAACTGGGAGAAGTGGTGACCCCTAGTGGTCAGTGACCAACCTGCAGGCCCGTGGCCCAGGATCCTCTTCGCCTGACCCAGGCTTCTGATCTCTTGTGACTGGGGCTCACACATTAGCCTTTCTGGGCCTAGATTCTCTCCACCTGGGCTTGCTCCGCCTGCTGTTTCCCCTTCCCACCCTTCATTCTGACCGCACACTGCTTACGTAGGTGGCTCGTATAGCTGAGTTCCCATGAGCAAAATAAAGAGCCTGTTTCTTATTTGTCATAATCATCTTTAATAAAAAATAAATTAGTTCTGGGGTGAGAATCACTTCAGGAGGTGGGGGGGGGGACGGGAGCAGGGGCTGGGTAGCATTATTCTTAACCTTTCTCTTTCCATCCTCTGCCCAGCTGGTCCCTGTTCTGGGGAGGTAGTCACTCTTCTTGGGATAAGGCAGGGTTGGCAGTGGCTGACCCCTACCCCTGGCTAATTAACTAGGAGAGGCAGGGATAGAGTGCCTGGGTAAGGGGAGAAGGGGTCTAAGGATAAAAGGGCGGTTAGAAGAGTGAGGCCTGACCAGGAGAACTGAGGTCTAGGGCACCAAGTTGGGATTGGGGGGTCAGGGCGGCAGTCGCTAAGCATCTCAGATTACTAAGGAGCTGCAGACTTGCTTTGTGGGAAGTGGCACACACATCCTTGCAGGCCCGGATACACATCTGGGGACAGGTGTGCACATACAGCATCACACTGACACAACCACACATGTCTGGAGAGTCACTGTCAGTCATCCTGCCACCTTCAACCACTCGAGGGGACATCCCTGGTGAGACCAGGACAAGCTGGAGAGCCAGAGGGTACAGAGCGAGCTGATTGATGGGTGACTGATGGTGGCGTGAGAAACCATGAGGACAGGGTCTTCTCCTGGACCCATTTCAGGCAGGCTCTGGCGGGGACTGCTCCAGGACGTGGGCACAAGAGCGGCAACAGGTGGCTGTGTAGTAGGGATAGACGCAGAGCCGGGCCTGTACCACCAGGGGGCAATGTGGAGAACTGTCCTTGCATTGATCATCTAGGGACAGAGAAGGCCAGTGGGCAGAAGAGAGTCACCAAGACCCATCCCTCTGGAGGAGTGTTGCCCACTCCCACGGGTCCTTTCCCATTTCCACCCACACTTCAGCTACCTCCATTCTACTGGAAGCCAGGGAGAGGGGGCTCTTTACCGGGGCGCTGGCTGCAGGGCTGGCTGTTACAGGGTCTTTTCCTGGAGGGCCGCAGGTGGAGAGGGCATCGGGTGCTAAGGGTCTGGTTGGCAGTCAGGCACTGGACCTCCCTTGTCTGCACGCCACCCTGGCAGGAGCGAGAACACTGGGGAGACCCCGGCTACCAAATCAGACCTTTGCTGTGCTCCAGGCTCCTCCTGCAGCCCAGGGTCCCCCTCCCCCTCCCCCTCCTCCCCCTCCTCCTCCTCCTCCTCCTCCTCCTCCTCCTCGGACAGGAGTATGTGAGCGGGGCTTTCCTGGAGCATTATGACATCCCGCATAGAGAGGGCCCACCTGATACTCAGGTGTACAGGAAGTAGGACAATGTTAAACTGCAGCTGGCCTTGTCCTGGGCCACAGGCGGGGGTTTGGTGAGAGGAGCCCCCCCCCCCCCCGGAAATCCACGCTGAGCAGGGGAGGGAAACCAGGCACTCACCGGACTCCAGGGCGTAGAAAACCATCGATCCTGGCAGTCCTGCCCCTGACAGGGCTGCAGGGCAGGGGGCCTGGGCAGGTGGGAACAGTTGCTAGAAGACGTCACGTTGAACTCAGTCCCCAGTTTGGACACACAGATGACATCTCTACGCTGTGTGCCAGAGCCACAATCTGAGGAACACTGATGGAGGAGAAGCATTGGGTGTGTAAGGAGAAGGGAGAGCAGGGGTCACTCCCAACCGCCCACAGGGAAGCCCCCTCCCAGGTTCTAAGCTCACCTCAGCCCAGGGCCCTGTGTACCAGCACCATGTCACCTCACAGGGCCCCAAGCTGCAGGCACGCATGTCAGGGGGGCGGCTTCCTGAGGCACAACTCTGCTCGCTGGTTTCTGCTCCTGCTTCCTCCCCACTCCCAAGACAGACCACAGAACGTCTCTGGATTCCTGTCCCACACTCGGCTGAGCACTGTTGAGAAGCGGAGCAGAAGGGGCTGTGTGAGGGGCTGCGAGGGGAAGAGGATCAGTATGTCCTGGACCCAGATCCTGTGAGCTAGGGAACGCCCCAGGGGTACCAGCCAGATGGGGGGAACCCCTGCCAGGAGCCCAGGAACGCGGTGGAAGTTTCTCTCACCACCGAGTTCCCAGCAACAGCAGGGTCTAACACGTAGCACGTGCCTGCTCAGTAAATGTTTACTGAGCTGTTTTGAAAAGGCTCTGATAGGGTGTCCTGGGTTTGGGGCCCACCTTAGAGCTCCAGTCGCTATGGAACCAGGCCATGGTACAGGGCCCCATGTCACAGGCCTCTCTGCTGGGGGGCCGTGGGGGACCTGATGCACACTCCCGTTCGCTCACTTCATCACCATTGTTTCCAACGCAGCGCACCTGCCGGCTCCTCTGGCCACGCCCACACCGCACAGAACACTAAGGGGATGAGAGGATCCAAGGAGCTGGGTCCAGTTTTCCTCACCAGCCTCCAGCTCTGTGGCTTTTGAACAAGGATCTGCCTTTGACTCCTGGCTCAGCCGTTACATGGCTTTGTGGGGTGAGGGTGGGACTCTGGGCCCCAACCCAGGTTCAGGCTCTTATCTGACTTGTAGGTTGGGGCTCCATATGAAATCTTGGTAAAAAGTTTCTGCCGATGAAAAATAAGTTGGAAAACCACTGCTGTAGCTCCCTGGGGCCGACTGCCCTAGGATCCCTCCGCCCCCACCCCAAGAGCCTGCCTGTCTGACCCCACTCACCTGGCTCCAGGGGGAGCGAACCTCCCAGTGGCCACAGAGGCGCTGCTGGCAGGGCTGGGTGATGCTGGGCCGCGGGAGGTGCCCACAGCGCTCGGGAGGCACCGAGGAGCCACCCCCGCCAAACTCCTGCCGGCAGCGTAGCTGGCGGTGCTGGGTGCCGGGGCCACAGGATCGGCTGCAGGACGTCCACTCACCGGCCTCCCAGCTGTGGTCATGCGTAGGGTGAGGGAGGGACAGACAGAAACGGCAGAGAGGAGGTGTGTGGGGCTGCCCTGTGCAGAGAGGGCAGACAGACTGGGGTGGGCAGACTCCGAGGAGGGTGGGCGTATTTGGCCATTGGAGTCGGGGTTCCTTTGTGAGGCTCAGGCTGCTGGGATTGTCTCGCTGTCTCTGGACCGTGAGCCTTTCCCACTGAACACTGTCTCTGCAGCCAGGAGAGCCGTGCTGTGAGACCTCTGGGCAGCGAGGGTGTGTTTGCCCAGGACGACTGTTGTGCCGCCAGGACCCTGATCCTCCCTGGAGGTCATACTCACTATGGGGGACACGGGGGGCCATGGCAGGGTTCCGAGGAGACCGGGGGCCTGGCGCCCACGGCACAGCTGCGTTCATCCAGTTCCTCTCCTGACTCACGAGAAATGCAGAGGAAGATGGGACTCCACACTCCTGAAGGGAGGAGAGGGAAGCTTGGGGGTGGGATGGCTCCCAGTCCAGTGTCCGTGGGGCCCCCAACTTGGCACTGAGTCCAGGTGTGGACCCACGGTCCAGGATGTGCGTCAGGCGCGCCAAGCTGGGACTTGGGCTGAGGGTGCCAGGAACACAGGCTGGTGTGTGAGGTCTCACCTTTTCCACAGGAAGCTGAGCACTCGGAGTGTCCCACTCGTTTCCAGAATCCGGCTGGAGACCCCAGGGGTGTCCCGGGGTGGGGCGGGGCGGGCATCTGGGGGATGCGCACCTGACGCTGGAGGGTGCCGGGGGTCCGCGTGGGGCGGGGCGCTGAAACAGGTGGGGGCTCTACCTTCAAAATCTCTGTGCAAGGAGAGTCGAATAGGCAAATCAGGTGCTTCCCACTGCCTCGGAGACTCCCTTTCACCCTCTCCCCGTCCTCCTAGCTCTAGGGATGGGGGTCTCACCAGGCTGGAGCTGGGGGATGTGGGGCTCTGGGGAAGGGTTCTCAAGGTTTGGAGGAGGTGAAGAGATGACATACTGATAGAAAACGCCTGGGTTTTCCTCCTGAAAGATCATCTGGGGAGAAAAAGAGAAGATAATGAGTGTGGGGGGTGGTAGGGGTGCAGCCTACTCGCCTTCCCCTCATCTTTGCCCCCAGAGGGAAAGCCCCTCCCGGCGGCCCTGCTCCCCCAGACCCCGCGCTCACATAGACGTCCACAGGCTGCGTCGTGGGGCCTTCAGCTGCCAGACTCTCCCCCGCGCCTTCCTCTCGAGGAGGACGGTTGTACTGAAAGACCGTCCCACCGGCCGCGTAGGACCCGGGGGGGTCCACAGCCCAGTTTCCATTGATGATGGACCGGCCCCCAGGGCCTCGCAGTGCTGGAGGCGGTAGAGCAGGACATAGGAGGTGAGTCACACCCTCCTGTCCCACCGCTTCCTGAACCACTCAGAGCCTCAGATGTCCTGTGCTCTCTTGGCTTCCTCCTTTCCCCTGTTGGAGCTGGTTTGCTGGGCTGCATGGGGGTGTGGAGGGCAGAACCATGAGACCAGGAAGAGGCCTGGCTGGTGTAGCTCAGTGGCTGGTGTAGCTCAGTGGATTGAGCAAGGGCTTGTGAACCAAAGGATCGCGGTTCGATTCCCAGTCAGGGCACATGCCTGGGTTGCAGGCCACTTCCCAGCATGAGAAGCAACCATACATTGTTATTTCTCTCCTTCTCTCCTTCCCTTCCCCTCTAAGGATAAATAAATAAATAAAATCTTAAAAAAGAGAGAGAGAGAGAGAGACCAAGAAGAGAGTCTGGGGAACCCGGGGAGCCCAAGACTTGGGGGACTTGGGGGATCCGGAGAGCTCACCGAGGTAGTTGGAGCTGGGCCTGAGCTGGGCGATCTGCAGCCGGGAGGCTCCAGCAGGAATCCGCAGGATCTTCTGATAGCCCAGGGGGCCCCCCCGGTCAGTGAGGTTCCCCGAGACGAGGTGACAGGTAGAATCATCACCACCACAGACTCCACAGCCATCTGGACGCTTGCCGGAGCCGAGGATCCCATCACAGCCCGGGCTCTGGGGAAAAGCGGTGAGCCAGGGGCCACCTCCCACCTCAGCACGGCCCCTGTGGGACCACTCGGCCCTCCACCCGGCATCTCCATCTTTGCACCACAAGCGAGACTGTTTCTTCGCCAGCCCCACCGCCCCCGCCAGCCTCAGGGAAGCCTGTCTGAAGCCGAGGGGGCTTCCCCCAGGTCGCCTCTTGGCTCTGCTCAGTCCGCCTGGCGGGCGAGAACCTTCCATCTTTTCCTCCTTAGTCTGGTTTCTTGTGTCTGCACACACCCCATCCACCCAGTCTCACCAGGCAGCGTCCAGCCACACAGATATCCAGGGCTCCTGGCTGACACAGAGTCCCGTCCTGGACCTTCTCAGTGTGGCGGACATAGAAGCGGAAGCCGCGGGGACGGCAGTTCAATTCACAGCGCTGGGAGCTCTGAACTAAGAGACAGGGCAGGAGGGTGGTTAGCTGGGGTCCCTGGGGGAAGGTTAACTGAGAAAGGCCCCAGGGCCTGGACAGAAGCTTGGCTTACACTAGCTATTGGGCATCCAGAGGTTGCCCAGGTCACTGGGGATGAAGAGACCGTGAGGACTCTGTACTCTGAAAGGTTCATTTGAGGGTCACTTAGAATTTGGGTCAGGTCACCATAGGTCACTGAGACCAGGGTTGTGAAAGAGAAGGGATCCTTGAAACCTTTGACTATGTGAGCTCAGAGCTCTGAGGGTTACCTCGGTACGAAGCTGGTGCAGGCCTACAATCAAGTGGGCAGTGATGTGGGAGCCAGGGCTGTGACCCCACCCAGGAGCCATGGCGCACCCCCACCTCGCTGTCACCTCTCCGATGGTGTCCCTCTCACGCCATGTCTACTTCACCTCCTGGGATGGACTTCTTCCCAGAGAAAACCAAAGGCCACCTCTGGACACATGGTCTCCCCGCTTGGCCTCTCTGCCAACCACCCACTAGCATCTGAGCCCCCCTGGAACCCCCTCCCCTTTCCAGTGCTGTCCCTTCCCCCCTGGCCCTGGGACAAAAGAAAGAAGATAGGACACAGTAAAAATGCGAGGGCCTACAGGGGACCCGCAGGGGGTGCGTGGCTCCTGCCCCAGATGCCCGTCTTGAGCCCCCCTCCTGGGGGGTGGGGTAGAAACCTCACCTTCTGTGAAGGGCTCCCACTGGTACAGCTGGCCCATGAACTCCTGGGAGTCAAAGGCGGCACACTGCAGGGCCCGGGGGTCTGGCTGCTCAGGGGGGCAGGGCTGAGGTGGGGGGATACAGAGGAGTCAAAGCTGGGGAGGAAAATGGGGGTGTGGGTCAGGGTCGGATCTGGGGAGCAGGGGTGAAGTCAGGTCTGCGGGGGGCTCCAAGGCCCTTACCCCGAGGAGGTCAAGTGGAAGGCCTGTCCCCTCGGGTCCAGATCTGACAAGCTGAGGACCCAGACGTGGGGTCAGGGAAGCAGTAAGGGGCGGGCGGGGGTGTCCAAGGAAGAACTCACCGCTTGGCTGCAGGCTCTCAGCTGCTCACTCTCCCCAGGACATCTTGGGACAGGGGTACTGGGAGCAAAAAGGCTCCACTGGGAGCTGGGGTGGGGGCCGGCCCTCAGCAGAGGCAGCCAGCCATCTGTGAAGTGAGGGGCGGCCTCCGCCAGGGGCCCGTGCAGACTCCCTGCAGGCCTCCAGTGCTCCCAGCTCTGTTGGCCTCGGCCCCGAGGGACAGAAAGGAAAGGATTAGGGTGTCTCTCTACTACCCGGGAGCTGGCCCAATCCCGGGGACTTGGCATTCTTGGTTGAGGGGACACGTGGAAGGAGCCACTTTCTCCAAAGGAGGGGGAGGATGGGGGAGGCTGTGTGCCAGAGGCCTGGGCTCTGGGCCGGGGCTGTGGGGAGGCAGGCCTGCCTCTGGGGGGCACCTCTGTCCCAGCAGCCTCAGTGCCTGGGGACTCTGCTGGAGGGGACAGGGTGGGAGCAGAGAAAGCCATAGGAGGCAGCTGGGTTTGAGGGGTGTGGTTTGCAGAGGAAGGCTCTGCTCCCAGAGGCAGGGATGGAAGAAGCTCTGAGGTCTGGGAGAACACAGGTCTGGGTGGTGTCTGGGGGTGTCTGCGGTTCCGATGCAGTGGCAAAGCAAAGGGCACTCTCCCATAACCAAACATTCCTGGCTTGATGGGGTCTCGAACCCGAGGCCTGAGAAGGTGTTGCAGACATGGAGTCACAGTTCTGGCAGTCTCTGACCCCGTGTCCCCTCCCCCTCTACTTCCTAGCTCCAGAGATAAGCCCCACCCCAACCAGGCGTCCTTTTCCCCTTCCCTTTTATCCCAAGCCACACCCCTTGCTTAAGGCCCACCCCTTCCCTCAAAGCTCCACTTCTCACCTCCTGGCTCCTTGAGCCTCCTGGGCCTCCTCTCTCCCTGACTGGGAAGCAGGACCTCGAAGTGGGCCACCTCTTCCCCGAGACGGTGGCCTATACAGGGGGAGGGTTTGCCGGGGAGTTTGGGGTCTGGGGCCCTGTCTTCGGGGGAGCAGGGTTTCTGGGTGTCTTGGGGGCCGGGATGGGAGGGGTGGGCTGTGGTGGAGCTGAGTTGTTGGCAGTTGACATGTCCGGCTCCTGCGTTGCACCCCAACCCCGCACGGCTGGGAGCAAGAGGCCCACTGGTTCCAGGGACCCCAGATGCCCTCAGGGGCCTGGCCGTCCTCAGGGGGTGTCTGAAGAGCATGTCCAGACAACACCTATGTAGACAAAAAGGTCACACAGAATTGGAATGATTTTAGGGGTACCATATAGGGCTCCAGTCCAATGCTCAGGGCTCAGGGAGGTCGTTACCAGCCCAAGGTCACATTCAGCAGCAGAGGGGGCAGGGGGCAGCCAAGTGTGAGAGAAAGGGGCCACAGCTCATCAGAGGCCTGCCCTGGAGAAGTGGGTGGGAAACGGGGGGGGGGGGGGGAGAGATGGAAGGACCACAGCTCTGGTCCCTGGCTCACCTCCTGATCCAGGCAGAGCTGAGGGAGGGACAGAAGCAGCATCAGACCAAACCAGGGCCTACAAACCAAAGGCAGAGTGGGGATGTTGGACCAGAGGTGGCACTTCGTGCGTCACTGCCCCTCACCCCAGCAGGCTCCCCACATCCTGATGAGAACTCAGAAAGCAGAAGTTACCCATCACCCCCCCTCCCCCCCCAGTGATCTCCTTTCCCTCACTCCCAGCGACAGAGCCATCTCTCTGACTGGCAGCCCACCTCTTACCTGCCCGCCCACTTCCCCATCACTCCTCTCTGATGGGGTCAGGGAGGAGGGGGCCGGACGTAAACACACTACTCAGACATCTGGACGCGGAGGAGGTACGCTCTGCGGGGACAGAAGCCCGGTGGTTACCCCAGAAAGCTGGGCCTGGGAGGGATGACTCCTCGGAAGGCCATCTGGAAATGAGGACGGAGGGGTGGAGGAGACCGGCTCATCCCTGTCTGACCCTCGGGGTGAGCTTAGGGAGGCCGGCTGCCCTTGTCCAGCTGCTGAGGCTGGAGGGTGGAGGGCACAGGCTCAGCCTCCTCCCCTCAGCCCTGTAGGAACTTCTTAGCTCCTCCCTAGTCCCAGCTAGGAACTGCTTCTAGGCCAGCTCAGGCGCACGCATCTCTCTTAAGATGGGCTTCATCCCACTCCCGCCCTGCTAGATAGAGGTCCTCCCACGAGGACGGAGGATGTGGTGAGGGCACGACAGGCGCCCCCTTGAGGAGCTGACAGGAAGCCCCTTCTGTTTCCTACCTGCCTCCAAGCCTTTTCTTCCCTTCTTAGCTAATGTCCTTCTGGAACCCTCAGGCACAAGTCTGCCTGCCTCAAACACTTTTTAGCCAAGGGATAAACTAAGTGGGCTGATGGCTTAATCTCTAGAGAAGCAGGTGACTGTCCCCACTGCAACTCCACCTCCCTTCAGGGCCAGCACCCAGCACTGGTTCAACGAGGGCTGATTTCAGGCGTGACCGAGGGAGGGGGGGGGGGAACCTGGGAAGAAGAGATGCAGTTATAGCTGCTGTCACTCCCCAGTCACTGGGCTGCCATCCTGAAGAGCCCAGAAGTCGTCCCGAAGTCCAGCTTTGATCAATCAGGAAAGTGGAGCTTGGAACCCCCCCTCCCCAATCCCAAAGCCTGCCGCTCCCACTGCCCCCCCATTGCTCCCCAGCCCCTTCCGGCTCGGTACCAGGCTTTTCCACCCCCCACTCTCCATCCCACTTAGTTATGCTTTCCAGGAAAAAAAAAATGTTTCTGTTGGATCTGAAAGGCACCCGGGAAAGGAGTCCAAGGAGCCAGTGCCGAGGTGGGCCAGCTCAGGGGCGGGAAAATGACAGAGGCAAGGGCAGGAATGTGCGTGAGGACAACACTCAGCCCCCTTCCCTCCCTGAGACCCAGGACTTGGGAGTTTGAGGGCAGATCACAATGGCTGAGCCTGACCTGCTGGGCCACCCCAGCTGCGGGGGCTTGGGGATGGGGTTGTTGATAGCTGCTCCTTTCCCTGGCTGGGCTGACCACTGAGGTCAGCACTCCGCCCTGATGGAAGGGGAGAGATGGGAGGGTGTGGGTATCAGCTCCAGAGAAGGGCCAAGGTTCCACCCGCGCCTTCCACTCTCTGCCTGACTCAGTTCCTTGAGGTTGAAGGGAAGGAGAAATGAAGGTGATGGCCACCGTCCATCATTCTCTGCTCTGGGGTCCCCTTTCCACTCCCTCTCTTGACTCTGCCTCTCTCTGCTACCCCAGGTCTGTATCATGCCTCTCTCTCCACGGGTCTACCCAGTACACATAATCCTGTCCTGAGCTGGCTTTGGCTTCGGCAGTTCCCTGGAGAAGTGAGGGGTGGGGGTGGGGGTGACGTGAGCTCCTGGGGCCCCAGCCAGGCCTGGCTCCCTCTCTGGAAAAGTCCCACCCCAGCCCTCCTGCACGGCTGGGCGGGGGGCCGACAGCCCCTCCACTATAGAAACGGGACACACCTTAGTGCTTTTTACCCCTTTTCATGTCCCTCATCTGGTGTGTCTCACTGCCCAGGGTGAGGAAAGAAGAGGTCAGATGTGGTCCTCCAGTGCCAGGCTGGACACTGGTCTGGACAAACTTGGGCTCCTCCTGGCCACACCTCCACGCTGGCCAGGGCAGATCAAAGAGGAGAGAGATCTGGGCAGGGCTAATTACCCCTTTACCCCCAGAAGGCCCCACCGCTGGGAAACGGGTCGCACTGCACTGCGGGGGAAGAGGGCTGGACAGCGTGTGTCCCGGCTGGCATGGAGACCCTGTCCTGGAGAGAACTCCTTGGTTCTCATTGTGCCCTCCATTCCTGGGTCCTGGAGGACCATCCAACAGGTGTCCTTCCTTTCCGTCATCAGGCTGAGCTGGATCCCGGGCACCCACCTGCATCCCTCCCAGTGCCCCTGTCCCGCAACTCCAGGAGCGACGGGGTGTTGGGCGGGGAGGTGGCGGCGGGGTACCCCATCCTCTAGAGGAGGGCAGGAGGCGCCGGCGCGTGCGAGGAGGTCCTGGGTATGTTTTCCAACTTTACTATGTGACTTACTGGGAATTTTGGCTGGTTCTCTTCCCGGGTGACAGGGACAGAGTTCCACGGGATCAGAGCCCCCTCCCCAGGAATTCGACCCCAGGGACTGGAGGACCTTCCGAGGCTATAAGAGCCGGGGCCAGGGTCGTGGCTAGAGCGCGACCGCGGGGCGCAGGGAGCGGGGGCGCGCGGGGGCGCGCGGGGGCGCGGGGCGGGTGGCCTAACGGGACCCGGGAGAGAGGGCGCCAGGGCCGGGGGGTCCCAAGGAAGGTCTGTACCTGCTCTGCGCGGCCCCGGCGGCCCGTGAGCCCCTCTGCGCCCGGGCGCTCTCTCGAGGCAGCCTAGCTCCGCGGTGGCCACAGCTGCCCCTGAGCCGGGCTCCGGACACTGCCGCCTCCGGCCGCGGCTCCGCCCCCGCCACGCCCCCGCCACGCCCGCCACGCGCCCGGCCCGCGCCCCTCGGCGGCCCCCGGGGGGCGGCGGCCCGCCCCAGCCCCCGGGCACCAAGGCCACCCACCGGAGGTGGCCCGCTGACCGCGCCAGGTGGCGAAACCGGGCGGCCACAGCCGGCCGGGCGTCAGCGTCGCCCCGGCGCGGTCCCCGGGCCTCGGCGCCAGGCCGGGCGGGGACTCGGGACTGCGCGACCCAGGCCTCGGACCCGCTCCGAGAGGCGGCCGCGAGGGCCACGGAGGGGCTCCGTGGTCCCTGTTCCAGAGCAGCGGGGGCGAGTCGGGGCCCCAGACGGGGCCTGCGAACCCGGCCGGGACGGCCTCGCGCGCCCCCGGACCCGCGTGAGCCAAGGTCCGCTCCTCCGCGCAGCCGGCGCGCACCCCGAGGTTCTGACGGCTCGGGCACCGCTGCGAGCCTCGGTTTCCTCGCCCATGAAAAGTGCGTGGCGGGAGGAATGCGCCGACTTCAGGATTTGAATCTCAGCACCAGTAGTTGGTTGCCAGCTCTGTGGTCTTGGATGAATACTTCATTCCTTCTGCACTGCAGTCTCCTCGTCTGCAAAGTGGGGTTAATCTGATATTATATATGTACATTATGATAGGCTTGGAAATATGTCTGTACCCATTCATATACGGAAAAATGCACCCCAAACTCGGTCTTTGTGGCGACTCCAGGAATGGGGGGTGGGGTTGGGGGCGGGGAAATAAACCTTCACGTTTTACACTTTACGTTTATATGCTGTTTGAACTTTTAACCACACGTATTACCTGTGTTATGACTTATGTTTAAAAATAATAGTTATATATATGGCTTACATAGTAGGTAATAGGTGGTTACTACTATTAATTTTTTTAAACATTTTATTTAATTATTTCTAGAGAGAAGAGAAGGGAGAGAGAAAGGGAGAGAAACATCAGTGTATGGTTCCCTCTTGTGTGTCCCCCACTGGGAACCGGGCCTGCAACCCAGGCAAGTGCCCTGACTGGGAATCGAACCGGCAATCCCTTGGGTCTCAGGCCCTCACTCAATCCACGGAGCTACACCAGCCAGGGCTATTTTTTTTTTTTAATTGCCATTTACTCATGAGCCACAGTTGTATACTTTTAGCCTACTCGGTACTTTTTAAAAGTTGATTTCAGAGAGATAGAAACATTGGTGCGGTCCATGTATTTAGGCATTCGTTGGTTGATTCCTCTATGTGCCTTGACCACAGATCAAACCTACAGCCTCGGCACACGCTCCAGAGGACCGAGCTGTCTGGCCAGGGCTCGCCCGCCTACCGATCTTGAGCACCTGCAGCACTTGGCTTTGAGGGCACTGTTAGTGCCCCCTCGAGGGGCAGGGTCTAGTCGGAGCCAGCCAGCCACGGGGCAGTAAGTGGGGCTGGACCCCACGGAAGCAAGGTTATCTCTGAGATGAGGGAGGTGCAAATGCAAATTGCTTTTACAATGTAAAAATGTTGTACCCTTATTTGAAGTTTAACAGGCATGTTTTGTTTTCTCATTAAATACCTGAGTTCTTTTTAGTTTGTAAAATATTTTTTCATATTTTGCACTTTTATTTTGTATTTTTCTATTTGTAGGGTTGAAAGAAATACTTGAATTGCAATGTTACAGAACAAACAAATGAGTCCCAGCTGCCCAGTCCTGCTCTCCTGACTTTTCCGCCGAAGCTCAGAGGCCCCTGGACAGGTAGGTGAGCTGGCTGGGGTCGCTGGAGACCCCTTTGATTGGGGGGTGGGCAGGACAATGTTGCTGTAGCTTCTGTTTTTCTGTTTTCATTTCTCAAGAGAAGTTATAAAATACCCTGGTTTTAAAATATTAAAAAGTCACAAAAGTCACAGAAACAACCACAAAACTTTAAGACACCAAGCACAATGCAGGAAACATGGCCGAGGTCAGGTTTTTCTGCCGGCCTTAAATCTATACCTCTCCTCAAAATGCCCTGTGTTCCTAAAGAGCCGGGACAGATAACAGATTAATGCCCCCTCCCAGGCGGGCTGGTTTATGTAGGGGCTGTCGGCGACAGCCCTCACCAAGAGGCTTATTTATAGTCATGGGCTTGGAGCGGAGCCCCCCCCTGCTCAGACCTCAGAGTGCCCTGAGGATGATGGAACGCCCAGCCTTTGGTGCACGGGAAGCCGTTTTAGGTCAGGGACCTTTTTGTGGTCCCCAATCACACCCTGTCAGCATTCACTCATCTGCAAGGAGGTGAAGGACTGGACAGGAGGGTGGGGCTGAAGACAGCAGAGTGAGAAGGGAGCCTGGGAAGATGGAAAAGGTCTGCCTTTGACATTTTTAACTGCCGTGAACTGAAGGTCGGAAATAGCCCTTTCCATTAAAAAGTGGCTGCAGACCAAAGAGATCATGAGATCAACTACAGTTGTCGCCTCTCCTGACTTGGTGGTCTGCAAATTCTGCAGTGAGAACAGAATTTCCTGTGCCTTTACCAGTGACGTGCCAAGTAAAATTGGTGGGCCTGTCTCAATAATACAGCTAGCCTGGATATAGTACTTACTCAGTGTATAGTCTTTGTCGTAACAGGTTTGGGAACAGACACAAAGAGAAATTCCATAATTGGCCCCAAATCTCACAGTTAGAAGCTATTATTAGTATATGTTGTATGCAAGTGAATTTTTTTAAAGATTTTATTTATTTATTTTTAGAGAGAGGAAGGGAGGGAGAAAGAGAGGGAAACATCAGATTCTCACGCCCCACACCCCCAACTGGGAACCTGGCCTGCAACCCAGGCACGTGCCCTGACTGGGAATCAAACCAGCGACCTTTCAGTTTGCCAACCAGCACTCAGTCCACTGAGTCGCACCAGCCAGGGCTGCAAGTGAAATGTCTGAGAAATGTAGCTGAGTTAGAGTAATTTTCCCTGTAAGCTAAGGAAGTTGTATTTGTGTTGAATTCGATAACATTGTAAACCAGTGTTTCCTGTGAGATGTTGTCCCTGTTCCAAGATGATACTGATGCTAACACCAGCGGGGGCAGATGGGGCCAGAAACCAACGTGAAGCTGCTTTTGGTTTGCGGCCACAGCGGCAACCATTTTCGGGAAGCCTGGCATGTGCCTTTCTGCCTCTCGGAATCGTGGTTTGCTCAGCTCCTTTGTTCCAGAGGAGCCGCTCTCTTCCCAGTTGTTACACGCCAGGCTGGTCTGCAGCTGTGGACTCCCAGTGTCTGGTCGTGTTATTCCTCGCTGTTTTCTTTCACTGATGCCGTTCCTCTGACCCTTTGGCTTTGCCTCGGCCCAGTGCGCTCTCCCTGCAACAGTTCTGAGAACAGCTTATTGTGACCTGTTCTCAGCAAGGAGCCTAGAGGGTGGGGACCACCTGGCTGTGCACGTAGTAGGCACTCAATTAAGTGCTGGTAGGGTGAGCCCATGAATGAGATACGATGAGCACGGCCTCAGCTCTGGCCACGTCCCGGCACTTTCTGGTTGTCTCAGCCCATCGTGGCTGAGCTGGCTCTGGTGTGATGCAATGACAAAGACACAGGGCGTGACTTGTCCGGTAAGAGGAGCATCAAGACGTGGGTGGCTATTCTGGTCTTCTAGTCACTGCTCTGGAGATGCTGAACTTGGTCAGAAACTCCCAAAGTCAGAATTCTTTAAAAAATTTTTTTAAAGATTTTATTTCTTAGAGAAAGGGGAAGGGAAGGAGAAAGAGAGGGAGAGAAACATCAATCAATTGCCTCTCACACGCTCCCAACTGGGGATCTAGCTTAAAACCCAGGCATGTGCCCTGACGGGGAATCAAACGGCCTTTTGGTTCACTGACAGGTGTTCCACCCATTGAGCCACACAGCCAGGGCAGAATTCTTCTTGATTTGATTCTAAATCTCAGTCTACCATTGCTTGTCCGCGGGTCCCAAAGTCCTTGGGCACAGACTTTGCCTGGGTACTGTCCTGAGCTGTTTGTCTGTCCATCAGCATTCTGAAAACAGGAAATGCTCAGTAAATGTTTATGGAACTGAATGAATTGATCAGACTTGACGTTGGCAGCCATTAAGTTTACAAAACCGTCAGTACTTTGACATCTGCGTGAAGGGTGCATATCTTCTTACGTTCAGGTTTGGGAAACCCACAAGCTAGAGCTTCTGGGTTAGGCCTCCAGAGTGTTTAAGGCTATTCACTGTCTGCCGCATTGGGGAGATTCCTCAGATGATGTGTTTCCCATTACAGACTTGATGTAACTGATATACAGATGTAATCAAATGGTGCACATCCGCGGAATGGGGAACAATTAGCCAGGACCCGTCCCTCTGACACAAGCCTCCGCTCAGCCACATCCTAGGGTCTTGGAGAGGAACATCAGGACCCAGTGTCTCTATTTCATACGCTATGGTAAAAACCAAAATAAAAATGGTAGCCTGTGGGTGAGAGCCGGCCGGTGGGGCTGGGGGGTCACAAAGGAAAGTCAGCCAGGCCTGGGATGCAGGTTCCAGGTATGGAAGCAGCCAGTCGAGGTTTCTCTCACATCGATGTTTCTCTCCCTTTCTTTCTCCCTCCTTTCTCCTCTCTCTAAAATCAAAAATAAAAGTAAAAAAAAAAAAAAAAAAGCAAGCCAGCGCTATGATTAACAATGCTATTCAAATCTATTTTTAGTCCTATGCCACACAGGGCAAGGCTCTGCATCGTGCCCTGGCTGGGTGCTCGGCTGGTTAGAGCGCCATCCGGACACCAGTACCAGTCAGGGCACACACGAGAACCAGCCAGGGAGGGCATGGATAAACGCAGCAACAAATCGATGTCTCTGCCCCTCTCTCTCTCCCTCTTTCTCTTTTTCTCTTCCTTCCACCCATTTCTGTCTTTAAAACCACCATCAATGATAATAGTAATAACAAAAGACTGCGCGTGTGAAGACGAAAAGCTGCCCTGTCGCAATACCCGCAGTTCCCTGCAGTCCCCCACGGTGCTGTGTCAGAGCCCAGCGAGCTCTCAGGGAGGGCCGGTGACAGAGCACGTGTTGTCAGTGTGCCCTCGCAGCCGGCTGCGTGTAGTGGCCTGGCCTCCGTGCCAGGGGCTGGGGAATAAAGTGATGTTGCTGTTTGGGCAGAGCCTTCTTCCCGACTAAGAAGTCTGGCAGCAGACACCCCACCAGGACCAAGTTCTGTGGTGTTGGCCCAGCTTGGCCGGCTCCCTGCACCTTTGGGTTCCTGGACCAGAATGTGAGGTGCCGTGGGCTGGCCCAGGTCTGGTAGCTGCTAGGGAAGCAGGCTGAGTCCCAGAAAGAAGGGCAGGCGCTACCTAGCGGTGGGGACAGGGCGGGAGGGTTCCAAGAATTTTGAGAAAACAGAGCAACCTATTGTTTCGTTCTTGAGTCTGGAATTGCACTTAATGTACTGGCCACACAAAGTACTGCACTGTGACCACTTCCGAGACCAACTGCAGATGTGAATGAAGAGCAGGAAGGAGTGCAGTTTGTCCCAAGTGAGGAAGGTGACAGAAACCTGTCTTCCCTCCCCAAAGAGGCTCCTACAAGAGAATAAAGGTCCATGTGATAATGGGGCCCAATTCCCACACTCACTCCTAATTCCAGAAGTAAATTAAGAATTTTTTCTGGGCAAAGCAGAGAGAGGTATACAGAGTAGCAGGCTCTGGAGGTGATGCGGGCTCTCTCCGTGGTTGAAGGAAGGTGTCCCTTTCAGAGCTGAGCAGGGAGGACCAGGTGAGTGGGTGCCAGATTCCATGGCCCAGAATCTGAGCAGGTTCCTTCTACCACCTGAGCTCCAAGAAATGGCTTCTTCCTCCAGGGCGTTGTCACTGGAGACAGCAGACTCCGCCCTCAGGACTGCCCGAGGAAGGGGCCATCCTCCCCGTGTGACCCTTGCTCTGTGCCTAGGGAAAGGCAGTTTGGTGTCAAAATAATCATGACAGATTGTGCTGATGGCCTAAGAAAGGCAAATATAAAAGGGTAGGAATCAGGGTACAAGACTGGAAACTGTGGCCAGAGACGCGGGCAGGGCAGCCAAGAGAGGCAGAATTTTCTACATTCCAAGGACTTGAAGCCAGAAATCGAAGCGTCAGGGCGCGCTCCGAAGGCATTGTGAGTTGAGGGGCTGGCCCCTGTGACTGAAGGCCCAGGCTCACCTCAGACACCTCGCGGGGCCTGAGTGGGTGAAGAAGGGGCTACGCTTGCTCCTGGTGCTAGAAGGGGTCTCCCTTTTCTGCTCAGGGCCTCCGGGGCTTTAGGAGCTTCAGGATCCGGTCCTGACTCCTAGCCTGGCATTCAAAGCCTTGCCCTGAGGCCACAGCCCCCCAGCCAGGGCCTCTTTTTCTACAACTCCCTCCCCCTCCCTCTCTTCTGAACTTGGGGCACCCACCCTCCACCCCTCACTAGCCTGGACCACCTCTCTCCATCTCTCTCCCAGCCCAAAACACCGGCCACAGCCGCCGTCTCCAGGCCAGGGAGTCTCTCACCTGGGTGTGCCTGAAGGTGCCTGAAGGTGCCTGCGGGGCCGACAAAAATGCAGGTACCTCGTCCCTCGGTCTGCAGGATCTTGTCCCTGAGCTCACAGGGGTTCTATGCACACCCGGTTTGAGGCCCCCTGGTCTACACCACTCCTTGGGAGTTTACCAATGAAGTAGGAACTACTCTGGGTCCTGGCACACCGGTATGTGGGAAGCACACTTCAATTTATTTCAGTAACAGCCTCACTTCTGTTTCAAGAGCCCTTTCTCCCGGGGCAGTGGAAACGTCAGTTTAGGGGATTCCTACCTTACCTGTCTTACCTGTGGACACACTCAGATCGTGTAGGTGATGGCAGAGGTGTTTATTCCCTCAGGGAGAAGCAGACAGAGCTCCCGGAGCAAACCCAGTTCCTTTCTGGCTCAGGTCCCGCTCCCAGGGAGGAGGGGAGCAGTGGGGACCCGGCAGGACTAAGGACCCGGGGGAGGGAAGGGTCGTGAAGGGGTCTCCTCCACTGATGTAAAACTGAACTCTGCTCCCAAAGCAGATCCGTCTCCTGACTGCTCATCTCCTCTTGTCGGGGCTGCTTTTCAAGGTCCTAGAGTCGTCTTCCCCCTTTTCTCTCCTTATTCCAGACCCATAGGGGACTTTAGAGGTCATTTTGGTCAGTCCCTTCATTTACAGGTGGAGATCGTGGCAATTTCTGGCAAACCCAGAATTAGATCCTGGGTCATGTCATAGACATGAAGTCCAGTCCACTTAGCTCAAAGACATGCTGTCCTTCACATAGCAAAGTGTCTTTGTCTGCTCTGTGACTGCCACCAAAGCCATCACCTTCTACGTGGGTCACAGTGACAGCGATCAATACAAAATGCATGACCGTTGGCTCGTGGCATCCCTGGAATGCCTTCTGCCCTTTTTCCCTCCCCTCCCAGCCTACTCATCCTTTCAGATCAGCTCAAATGCCCCCTCTTGCAGGAAGCAGAAGCTGGTCAGGCATGACCTCGCCCCCCAGCTGCACCCCGCTCTGTAACCCACACTCCCGATGGCAGGGTAGGATTGTAGCAGGCTGTGTCCTCATGCCATTAAGTTTCAATAACTACCTTATAAATCCCTAAGAGCAGAACCTTGCCTTGCCCTTCTGGGTTTCCCTAGTAGGACCTGGCATTGAGAATGACCTGATAACATTTTAGTCACCACTTATGTGGCGTATGCCATGAGGTGAAACTTCAGCAAAATGCTTAGAATTGTCCACTGAACCACCCAGTGAACTGGGGATACACACTGAGAAGGAAATGTTTAATTTAGGGGGTAAGCAAGCTCCCAGAGGAGCTGAAGGTGAGGGAACAACCAGGCACACAAGCCCAGCAGGCACCTCGTTCCAGCATGAGGGGGAAGGTTGCACATACCAAGGGCTGGAGTCAGGCGGAGCAGGGGGAGGCTGGTGGACGCGGTGCAGGTTGAGGCAGGAGGCACCCACTGGCCCAGGGTCACCTGCCTGCACATGCACAGAGGCACCTGACTCCGGCTGCCACCACTGGCTGCGGCGGGATTGCTGGGGCTCTAGGGAGGGCATCACTTCTCTCCTGGGTATGAGAAGTGTGGGTGGGGGTTGCTGCTCAGAGGCCTCAGGTTCAAGCCAAGACTTTGCAACCACCACAAAAGTTCCCAGACAGTCCCTTGGCTCTGCGGGCACGAGGGGTGCACAGGGTGCACCTAAACTCAACAGTGGGGCTTCCCCTTGCCATTTTGCAGCTGTTTTTCAGTGTCTGGTACATAGTGGGTGCTTGATTACAACCTTTAACGAATTGTCATTTGGGGTCAGCTCCCTGAGGCTTTGCCTTTGATGAGTCAGCATGGGGCCAGCCAGCATGTGAAGAAAACCCAGTTTCTGAGTTCCCAGTGTCCTCTGCCTCCCCTGGTGAGCTGAAGCTAGTTCAAGCTCCATCCTCTGTTTGGCTTTCCTCTGCCACTGGGAAGGGCCTCCTGCTTCCCCAGGGGGGGTGGTCGGGACCCAGGCAGTGATTGTCCTGTGAGCCCAGTCCTGCCCACCATTCTCCCACTTCAGGTCCTGCTCTCATCTCAGCAACTGGGAAACACAAGCAGGTGCAGGGTCAGTGGACATCTCAGCCCTGAACTCCCAGCACCCGCAGAACCTCACAGTTTCCAATGGTGATTCAGAGTCATCATCCTATTTGCTTTGCCCTCAGAGCCCTATAAAGTGGGGTGGGCTGATGGACTCTGCTTTCATTGATCAGGTAAGAACAATGAGGCAGGAGATACCCCATTGTTCTTTGTGACTCGGGAAGCAGAACCAGAGCCAGAACCAAGGCCTCCCTTCCTGGCCCAGCAACCCCACAGCGCCTTCCTGAGAGCGAGGGAGAAGTAGAGAGCTGGCCGGCTCAGTGGAGATTTTCAGGAACATGTCTCAGCAGGAGGCGCTCAACCTTTATCCAAAGTAACTGCACCTGTTAGGAGCTGGGAGGGCTGGTGAGGTGCGGGCCGCCCCCTATTTTACAGAAGGAAATGCCCCCCTTGCCCCAGGAGGTTGTGAGCTGCGGGGGAACGAAAGTTCTGGCGGTGCAGAGCCTGGGGCCCATGTCCCAACTCCAAGCTACAGGCGCCCCACATTGTGCTCAGACCCCAGCGTGCAGACCTGCCAGGATCTGCACTTCTGTTCTCTGGCCCCTGGGCCCCAGCACAGCTCCCTGGTGACGGGCTGTGTGAAAGGGGGTGTCTCTGTTCCTCCGCCTCGGGGTTCTGTGGGGTTTAATCGAGAAGGTAACACAGTATTAGCAGAACAGTGCTCGGCACACAGTAAGCCCCCACAAAAATTGGCTGGTGTCATTACTCGGTGGAGAGTTAGCTGACCAGCGGTGAAATTCTGCGTGGCTACGCTAGTGTGAGTGCCTGCACCCGCACCACAGCGGAGGTCCCAGGAGCATACTATTAAAAGGTTTCCATTGTTCCACAGCAGGAGGGCACCTCCCTAGTTTGATCGACCTGGTACCCTCCCTGATTAGGGAGAGTAGGGGCCAGGGACCGTGAGGCCCTGGCCTCCTCTGCGCCCAGCCAGGGACCTGTCATCAGCAGCTGACTCCACTCCCTGACTCGTGTCCCTGGATTACTGGGGATCTGAACACCTCAGGGAGGTGGGTCCTTGCCCACTGGCTGATTGCTGAGAACAGGTGGGTCCTGAGGCCAGTCCAGACCTATTTGTGGGGAGGCAAAGCGAATGCAAGCCAAGAATCTGGGGATTAGAGAAAACATGCCCATCTCAGCCTCCATCTGCCCGGCTAGCACTGGGCACGGACCAGGCAGAGCGAGGGGAACTTTTCTTCCGAGCAAAGTGACCAACCAAGGCTTTGGGAGTAGACCCTTCATGGAAGCAGCTGAGAGATGCATCCAAATAGGGGCCCTGAGCTCCTGGCGGGCATGGCAGGGTGCTGTGATGAGGAGGCCCAGGCTTCCCTCCAGGAATGTGACGGCTCAGCGGAGGCTGGGGCGTGGGCAGAGGAGGGCAGTGGCTTCAGTGACCCGAGCAAAGGGCAGCTCCAGGGGCTCTGTCCCAGCCTCTGTCCTGGAACAGAGCACTTGGCACTTGCACAGCTGTCTGCGGGCTCAGCAAGGTGTGCCCCACACCCGCCTCTCCGAGACAAGCCCTCTGAGAGTGAGGCTTATTCCCACAGGTTAGGGGTGGGGTGGGTCAAGTTGGGACCAGCATATTTGTCACCACCCCGCCCTGGCCACACCAAGACTTTAGCACCTTCCTCCCCACCCATCCTTCCTTTGCAGCTTCAGTCCTTCACACTGAAGCGGGATTTTAAAAATAGGCAAAGCGTGTGCACGTGGCACGCAGTGGAAAGTGTCTCCCTCCCCCGCCCGCTCCCCTCCTCCAAGGCAACATCTGTGTGTCCTTACTGACTGGCACACGCGTGTGTGAGCAGACAGACCAATGTTCTTCTCTGTCTGCCTCTGGTCACAGAAACTCCTCTGAGGCTAAAAAAGCTCCTGGTTCTTCTCTAAAAGATAGTACACACACAAAAAAACAGCGTGCAATTTTAGGGGATTTCACACACTCCTGCCCCACTTTGTCCTACTCAACAAGGGATTTTGGTGTGGCTTCTGGTTGCTGGGCCTGACCACCTGACAGCTCTTCAGGGCCACACACTCCGACTTCCGACTTCCGACTTCCGACTTCCGGGGATGCCCAGCGTCTCACCCGGAAGTTCATCGAAGGCCTTGATGAAAGCACTCAGGTAGGCTGGTCGTTCAGTGCCCTCTTTCAGTCACTTCCTATTATATTTAGAATAAAATCTAAACTTAAAAAAATTAGTCTATTTTAATGTTTTTAAAATCTTCACCCGAGAATATGTTTATTGATTCTAGAGAGAGAGGAAGAGAGAGAGAAAAATCGATATGAAAGAGAAACATTGTTGGGGATCTAACTCCCAACCCCGGCCCTGATGGGGTCCAAACCTCAAATCCCTCGGTGGTCGGGATGCCACTCCAGCCAGCTGAGCCACTGGGTCAGGGCGACATCTAAACTCTTAACATGGCCAGGAAGGCCTGTCATGCATTGTCTGACCAGGGCCGTCCCCCGGGCTCCAGGCTGCCACTGGTACCCTCTGATCACACCGCTCTCGCCACACCGCCCTTCCTTCTGCTCCTCGTTGAACATGTTGAACCTGGTCCCACCTCAGGGCCTTTGCACAAGCCCTGCCCTCTGCCTGGGAAGCTGTGTCCCCTGATAGCTGCATTGCTGTTTCTTTCTGGTGTCAGCTCCAATGTCACGCTTCCTAAAGCTGTGCCCCAACCCCCAACCACCCTCTGTCTATCACCTCATCCCAGTTTACTTTCAAAAGGGAACTTGCCACTTGGGAAATTAACTTATAGGTTTAGTCATTTACTGTCTGTGTTCCTGCACAATGTCGGTGTGGGCTCCACAATGTCAGTGGCCTTGCTGGTCACATCTCCAGCATCTAAAACAGTGCCAGGTACATACTACACACTCAGCAAATATCTGTGGATTGAGTAAATGCACTCAGTACCTGCAGATTAAGTAAAGAATCTTGGTGCAGTTTAGATGAGAATCATAACTTTAACTCATCCGCAGTCATCAAGGCAAAGCTGCACGGAGGCAGCTCCAGGCTCCTGCTCCAGGCAAAGCTCCCAGCTTTCCCTTGCTTCTTCAGTCCCAGATGTCCTACCCTTTCCCCAGATCTCTGGAGCTCCTCCCTCCCAATCAGCATTTAACAAAAACTCCTTTATGATTTTATGCCTGGGGGATTTAATCTGAGTCAATTTGGCTTCTCCTGCTCTCGCTCAACCGAGTCCAAAGTCTGATCAGCGTTTCCAGTGGAGCAGCCAGCAACCGCGTTGTCTGAGGGCCCAGAGCCCCACCCCCAGGGAACTGATGGACGGCTTTCTGGGCCTCCCCTCACTGCCCTTTCATGCCTGGGTCTTCTGGAAATAAACGAAGACCCACCAAATGAGAAAAGCAAAGTCTGCTTATTCGGAACTTGCTGTAGTGAGGGAGTTGCCGCGGTCACTTGCATTTTGACAGAGTGGGAACACTCTACGGTGGAAAAGGGGAGGGTTCGGGCTTGCCCTGCCTGGAGGCTGTTGGCTTGGGGAGGCTGTGGGCCGGCTAACTAGAAGCCTGGTAGGGCTGGTCGGGGGTGCATATCTGGCTTTCTCTGGTTGGTTCTAAATTGAAATGGGGACAAAAATTAGGGAAGCTGTCCGTTATTCATCAAGTCCTGGCCATGTTGAGCCAGTTGTTCCAGAAGTTACTGTTTAGCTTCCTGGATTGTTACTAGAGATAGTCTCACTTCCTGAGTTGGTTTCCTGAGCAGGGTTTTGCAGGTTGTGGATCAGAGTCCTGTTTTTCTCCATGGCCTACTGTGTTCGGACTGTGTACAGTCTCTTAGCCTACAGTGCCTTTTGGTGACTCTGATACAGGGTGCATCCAAGGGGGGGCCCCAGAAAGGATCTGAGATGGAGTCCAGAGTTCGGGGTGTCCAAGAAATATTGAGATGCCCTCATCCCCCCAGGGGGAAGGGACGAATAGAGCAGGGCCATTGAGAGCTGTTTTGCATAGCAACGGTTTTGCAGCTGACCTCTAGAGTGATTATTTGACAAATCTATGGCCTTTGGCTAGTTTCGTGGATGTGTTAAACAGTGTAGTCAGGCTTAGAGCTGGGGGAATAAAGTAACTTACCCCGGATGTAACTTGGAGCAGAGCCCCTGAGGGGGGAGGCCTGTATAAGAGCTTAGAAAAGATCAGCTCCAGGACATGAGGGGATAACTACCCAGGTGAAAGAGGGAGCCACGTGGTTTAGGGCAGAGTGACGACCCCTGCAGCTTTAGTAGAAGAAGCCCACATGGCTTTGGGGTGCCCCCTTTGGCCGTGTGGCCTAGAAAACAAGAGAGACTTTGACTAGAACTTAGTACAAAAGAACTCTTGCCAGTAGATCATGAAAAAATGCCACATAACTTTAGATTAACTAGAGATCCTGCCTGATACAGCTGATAGTGCCAGCGACCTGAAACACAGATGTGTACTCTTTCCTGATTTACAGTACCCGGAGTTGGGACAGTGTGAGTAGGGAGCAAAGACATGAAAGTATTTTAAGTTGAAAAAAACTTGGTTTCTGACTGCTCTTTTACAATAATAGAACTGGAATTATAGGTGATAGCAAGGGAAATACCTGGTCTTTACACCATCTGTATTCTTTTTGTTCTAAATCTTTGATTGCTTTGTTAGAACTATGTAAGTAGTTCTACAAAGAAGTATATAATAGTCCAAAAGGAAAGAGTAGAAACAGTTAAATTAATGGTACTTTCCCAACCATATACCCTTCTCCCAGACGATGAAGAGTCAAGGGTTTGACATACTCCCGAAGAAAATGGGGGAATGTTGAGATCTGGGAAATTGAGAACATAGCCTGACCACAGTAAAACAGGAACAAGGGACAGCATGCAAACAAAGGCTGAGCAGGCATCCTGCAGTATGTGAATGCCCTACTTAGAGCAAGATAGGCAGATCGTAATCTGTTTAGTTTTGAATTTTGACACCCCACCCTGTTCCCGCGCACGGTCTCTGTCAGCAAATAGCTAACTGCCACGTCTGCTTCTGTTCAACGCTTGCTTGCGTGCCCCTATATAAGGACTTAGCTATAAGCGCTGGGCACGTCTCTCATCTGCAGCCCTTTTGGGTACCGTGTCTCAGGACACTCTGAGAGTTTGCCCCTGTGCAGGTTAAGCTTGGCCAATAAAATAAGATCAAAACCCTGAAAGGTCTTCGAAAGTTATTCTCGCATCTGGTGGATATAACAATTCTTCCCTACTTCCCTTCAACATATGTGGGCTTTGCAGTAGTGGAATTGTCCAGTATTTCATTTCCTTCATTCAGCAGCTCTCTAGAGAAGGCATTCTCTGTGCAAAGAATGGTGATATATACAGTAAAAGGAATAGGGGAATAGGACTTGCCCTGACCAGTGTAGCTCAGTTGGTTGGCTATCACCCCAAAGAGCAGGTGGAGGTGGGGGGTTGTCACCGGTTCGATTCACAGTCAGGTCAGACATCAGAGGCCTGGGTTGTGGGTTTGGTCCTGGGTCTGGCTGCATATAAGAAGCAAACGATTTTTTTTTTTAAATATTTTATTTATTTATTTTTAGAGAGGGGAAGGGAGGGAGAAAAGGAGAGAAATATCAATGTGTGGTTGCATCTCACATGTCCCCCACTGGGGACCTGGCCCGCAACCCAGGCATGTGCCCTGACTGGGAATTGAACTAGCAACCCTTTGGTTTGCAGTCCACACTCAATCCACTGAGCCACACCAGCCAGGGCAGACAATGTTTGTCTCATATTGGTGTTTCTCTCCCTCTCTTTCTCCTTCCCTTTCCCTCTCTCTGAAAAAAAAAATTGAGAAGTGTCCAAAAAAAAGGGGGGTGGGTAGGACTGGGCAGGCCCTGTGCCTGGGGTGGGGGTCTGTGGTCTAGTGCAAGAGGGGAGCTGGCTGCAGGGCTGTGGCTGTAGGGCTGTGGCCGTGCCACACAAGACTGGGGCAGGGCAGTGGACCGGGGCGACGAGGATGGCTCTGTGGCCAGTGTGGAACTTCACAAGGAGGAAAGGAGGAAAGAAGGGGAGAGTCTTGGAAGGGGATACTGTGTGGAAGGGTGCAGGTGGAGAGGCCTGCGGGTTAGTCACTGTACTGTTCTCGGGTCTCAGTTCTTCACTCCCTAGAGCCACGTGAGGCAGACAGTATGTATGAAGGTGACTGTGAAGATTTCATCGAGAGGAAAGGCCATGGGAACCAGCTGGAAAGGGCCTCTCACAAAACAAGGAGCCCTAGGAAATTATTATTATTACCTAGGCAGTAATAATAACAATATTAATACCAGCATTTAGTGAGTTTCAGTCACTGCCCTGTCCCTGCATAGAAAGCAATACAACAATCCTATGAGATTGTTACATCATCTCCATATTACAGATGAGAAAACTGAGGCACAGAGCAGTTCAGAAACTTGCCCAGGCTCACAAAGGACTTATCAGAGGGGAGAGAATGCCTAGACTGTGTTCTTTGCATAAGGTCAGCTGCTACTACGCTTTCCTTGAATGTATCTCCTGACACATCACCAACTGCTCCTTGTGATAAAAATCAGCCCTCACTGAGTGCCAGGCAGGGTCCTAAGCGTTTGCATGTATTAACGCATTTAATCTTTACAACAGTCCTCTGCGATAAGGAATTGTGATTATCGTTCCTCTTCTTCAGAAAAAAGGAAACTGAGGAGCCAAGAGGCACGGCTGAGGCCTCTGACCCGGAGTCAGCACATCCACAACTGTCCCTCCTCCTCTTGTCAATAAGCAGGGCCAGGACTGCCCCTCAGTGCAGCCCTGATCCACACAGTGGAGCCACGCAGTGGTCCATGGCTAGGACCCATCATCCCCAAGTGAAGAGACCTTGCCTTTCTGGATGACAGACACCTTTAAGAATCTGGTAGGAGCTGTAAAAACTCTTCCCAGAAAAATGCACAAGCGCACACACCACAATTTGTACAAACTTTAGGAAATTCACGGATTCCCCTCAAGTCTTCCCGTGGCAAGGGGGTGAAGGCGGAAGTCTTCTTGGGTAAGGGCTTCAGCCAAGGATATTTTCCAGTCTGGAAAGACAAGGCCAGCCTTTGAGTTTTGAAGGTTTCATGTATTGAGAGAGTGGAAACAAAATTCTGTATCTACGTTTATTTACTTCGCCAGAGAGCAGAACAGAAAGCAGCCTGTCCTGAGAGCCCCGTCTCTGGATCAGTCCCTTCCACACCCAGACAGCTGAGCGCTGCTGGAGGAAATCTCACACTTCTGCTGGTTCATGCCAGTGCACGTTTATGGTTTCTAATCCCCGATGGATCCGTAACACTGCTTGGCACCTCCTACTTGTACCAGATGAACTGTTACTGGAC